AAAACCCCAAAACCCCAAAACCCCACTGAGAAATAAATTAGTTGTAAGAGTTAATAAAAATGCAGATTATTATGATATATTTAAATAATAAAGCAAGAGATCTTACTCTCAAGCTTGAATCTAGGGTAAAATTGAAAATGACAAAGTTGCACAGTTATTGATAAAAGTGACTCCTCATGAATAGATTTAGTCCCTCATTAGAAGTCTAAATCTTTGCAACTTTGGAAGCTCTCGTCTTCTTAATGGTTATACGCACCACTTATTCCATAACCATTAGAGTTATTTGGAGTCAAGTCTTCTGAAAAGAACTTTACAGACTGCGCGGCACTCTAGGGGTTTACATATGACTATTAAACATTCATTGAAGACTGGAGGTTAAAAGTATTCTTGTTTTCTTTATTTATATTGTCTTTGGAGAATAAAAATGAATCTAGATCAAAGAAGCTTTCCTTCCCATGCTGATTATTACGATTGTTAATGTTAAAGTAAAAATTGTTTCCTCCAGGAGTAGCAGACTACAATTCCTTGTTCTCTTCAAAGATATCCTCAAGTACTACACTTTTGAATCCCTCATCATCTGATAGATTTATTTTAATAGCAGACTAATGGTCAGGATTGTAATTTTAATAAGCTGCTATTGCTTATGGCTGGATCCTAGAATTTGATTAAGCATCATCTATGTCTTTATCAGAATGTGATTTGAATTTCTTAAGACCAATCAACTTATCTATAGCAGATGTATTGCTCTTTTCATATTGCTTCTATACTGTAATATTTTCATCTAATTATATTCTGTTATTTGACTATACATTGGTATTTTCATTTTTATTTTTCCCCAATACATTTTCATTATAGTAATTTTCATATTTCTAAAGTATCTTATCATTATTTCTGAACTGCAATTCCATCCTGGTTTTAATAGGATCACTCTTATATTACTCTAAAATCGGGATATTTGGATTAACAGTCTTTTTAACTGTTTCTGATTTTTCGAGTTTGTTTAAGGTCCCTAAATTATTGGCAAACGGAATATAATCAACAGTAGCTGTGCGTTAAACATTTGTGAAATCATCCTTTTCAAAAGGCTTCTAGCCTCCTTATATGCCTTAAATGTCAAGCATCATGTTGGAATTTCTCCGAATCCTTTTCGACTCAGACATAAATTCTATCTTTTCTACTTGAATTTTCTATGCAGCATTAATAGGTGATGTGTTAGTTGTATATGCTAAACTACTTTCCACCGAGCCCGTGTCTCTGCTTTCCTTTTTCTATTTGCGTTCTCTTACTTCAATAGACAACTTAAGTGCCTCTGCTACTCTAGTGTCTATATCGTAAAAGAATAAATCTAGCTTTATGTTAAACTCCTGAATAATAACTGCTGCGATCTTTCTAATCTCACGGTTAAGTTTAATGAAATTTAGGTAGACAATGAAAGCTCGTTTGGCATCTCTCAGCTCCATCTCCTCAAATTTTTGTAGCATCACACTGGTCAAAAGGTAGTAAGACTGATATATCTTGAGTAAATCAACAAAGAGTAATTAGATGACTCCATGAAATATTCTATAGTTTTGACAATAGTTTTTCTATTGAAAAACCTTAAGTATTCCATCAATCAAGCTGTCGATCTTGCTGAATATAAGGAAAAGTTCCACTAACATCAAGCTTCTAGCATAATGATTTATATCTTTCAAACTGATTTGGAAAAGCTAGCTTATTATGATGAAATTTATCAAGTTCTTGATATAATTTATGTAGAGATCGCTGATAAAACATTGCATTTTTATGTCTACAGTAGATTAAAATCATGCAATAAATTATTGAGAATATACTTACCCTGCGATTAATCATCATTTTGGCATGGTTTAAGAATATATTCCATCTCTTTGATCTTATGTGCTACAATTTATGAGATTTCTTCTTCCTGAAGAGCTCTGTGTAGTATTATCAGCACTTTCAAATTCAGGGAAATGCTTCTCAGGTTAGTAAAGAATCTATCTGATAACTTTTTCAAAGCCTCTTTAGGTCTAATAAGCTTTAGATGTCGACCTTTTAAGCATTCTAGAATAACTATAAAAGTTGATAAGAAATTGACTCTAATTTGAAATTCGAAATTGAAATAATAGACAACGGAGAGTTTTGTTATTACAAAAATAACTTACAAATAACATGCTTTTCTTTAGGTTCTTTCATATCTCCTGAATAAGATGCTTTAATAAGTTTCTAATAAATAGTTAGTCTTAATGGTATTTAAAGAGGATTCGATTTTACCTTTTCAAACTCATTTTTACCCTTTATAGCTGCTGCATTCCTAAATAGTTTATTAATAGCACCTATCATTTCTTTTTATTTTAATAAATTAAATATTATAACAATAATAATCATAACTTAAAATTCGCAATGAATGATAAAGAGACTCAAAATTATAATCAAAAACGATCTGCTACAGGAGGTCCCCCTTATCAATAAAATAATAGTGTCTACCAGATAGACTAGCACTAAAACACTCATTCCACTAGTAAGATATATTACTACTCTTTAAACTTTAACCTTAATAGTGTATTCTCATTCTAAATTTCAGAGTTTGTAAAAGCTTAAACCGATATAAGGAGGCGGCGGAGGCAGTATTTTGAGTTAAAATAACTATGCTGGGATTTATCCAGGATAAATGGAAAGTTCTAATAGCTCTGCTAGTAATTTATCATTGAAAAACAAGGTGAACATGTCTCCTCAATAGCAAGCCTAGGTGATATACAATGGAAGCCATAAAAATCTCTAAAAATCAAACAGTAGCCCTATGAATTCTTTTATTAACAACAATAAAAAAAGAAATATGATGACTAATTCCCAGGCTAACCTTGCTCTTAATCACCAAATACTTCTCAATAATATAAACCATATACCTACAAATATTAGTAACGTAGCTTACAACTCCACATAGCCATATCGTGATTTAAATTATGATGCGGAAAATCACGGAGTTGCAAATATCACAAATCATGATATCCAAAACAATAGTAATAACATTAAGTTTGTATATAAATCGAACAGCCAAAAGTCAATCAATTGGGAGGGTACCCCTTAAAATCAAACTCACAAGAGCATAAATAATAAAAATACAGGCAGTCAGAGTCATTAATCTCTATTCGGCTCTTAAGGTAAAGGTGTATAGAATTCAAGTAAGAAAATGTTGATGCCTAGCGGAAGCAGTGGTACTCTATTGAGAAAAGAAAGTAAGTTTTGAAATAACTTATTAATGCACATTTGAATGTAGTCATTGAAATGGATGAAGTGAATAGTAGCTCATCAAGTTCTATTGGAAGAGAGGACAATGCTAATTAAGCTTTTAATGCTTCAAGTAAATTGAAAGAAAGTAAGTATGATTTTGAACTAAAATAGCCCAATCTATTATTGATATTAAAATACATCCGATCATGACTAATTTATAATCATCATTATGTAATTTTGAGTGAGTAAATCAGATATTTTAGTTGGTAAATTGAACTTTACAGGTAAACCGTTTGCCCCTGACAATATATTCGTCAACAATGCTGGAAAAAATTTGGGTGATCAAGATAGTGGTGGAGACCTTGAAAACATGTAAGTTATGCATTTTTAATCATTTACAGTGAATCATAAAAGAGTGATAAGCCTTAAGTCTAGCAAAAAACTCAAAAACAAAATGCTACAATATAATCTAAAAATTATCATACAACATCTACTGTTCAAAGTAATTAGACCGCTCAATAATCTTAACCATCAAGTTCTAACAATAATGCTAATCATTCCATCTCTTAATAGTAAATGAAAAATGCCAAGGGGTAGAGATAGGGAAATAGTAAGAAAAATATTAATCATAGAAATATCTCTCCTCCTGATCAAAATCTGAAAATTAATACGATCGGATCTCATTAGCATTAGAATATAGTTGGCAAGGATCAGAAAGTTGTTTAGCACTAAGTCCCTCCTTAGTTAAACAGCTAATCATCAGGTGGGAGGATTAGTGTTGGAACACCAAGAGTATAATCAAATTCATCCTCTGCTAATGAAACTCTGACTAAGAAAATAGCTGCTAAGGCAAAAATAATAAGCAATACTTCTGCAAAATACAGTCCATCAAATGATATGAATGCAATTTCCCATAGCAATGCTTCTCATAACTAAACAAATATTTCTGAACTAAATAACATCACAAGCTTATCAAATGTATATAAATAAGACACTCAAGACAATATCAATGGAAAACCCCCATCTTTATCTTAGACTCAAAAAGTAAGGATTAGCTTTGTGGAATAGAGTAGTCATATGAATCTATTTAACAATCTTTCTGGGATGAAATAAGATGATAGTTCATTATTGCTTGGTCAAAATAGTGGAATAGGAGGTGGAATCTCCAGTGTAAACTAAAAAATAAGCTCGAATCCAACTTAAAAACAAAATGTTTAGATAAGCAATCATCCGGTGTAGAAGATTAATAAAAATATGATTTAGAAGTAGAATACTTTCAAAATTAATAGTAATTCCTCTAGACCAAACAACAGTAATAATAGTAACAATAATTATGGCTAGTCTCTTGATTAGTAAAGCATGATTAAAGATTCAGTGAAATCCTCCCTTGCTTAGTAATCGAATGAGAAAACCTCTCATAGTCAAAATCAAATGTTCAATGCAGGGTTTATTTAAGCTTCTTAATATAGCTCTAAATCACCAGCTGAGAAAATGATAGAAAGTAGTTTGCTATAATAAGCTGTTAATGTTACTCAAAGTAGCACTCTCGCAGGAAAACACTAAAAGTTAATGACTTAAGAGCTTTATGGAATATCAAATTAAATTCTAACTCCTAACAGGCATTCCATTAACATAAATGGGAAAAAATAATCAGCCACAAGCAAAGCTTCTAATACTAAAGTAACTGCTCTTTAAAAACAGTAATAGACTCTTAATCTCCCAGAGACTAAGAAGGCAGGTAAAAGTAATAAAGCTAGTGCTAAGAATTCTAGTCAAGACCTCAGCAATGTAAGTCATGACGAAGTCTAAAGTCCAAGTATGATTAACAGTCTAAAGAAGCATTCTGGTAATATTAAGATGAAAGGAGATTCAAATAACTTTAATGAGATCTCGGAGTCAATTATTGAAGAAAATATTGAAAAATTTCCTGAAGATGAAGAGGATTCTATTAAGATACACAACTATAACTAACTATAAAGAAATCAGATTACTGTGCAAAAATCAAATCATTTTGATTAATCAAGAATTTCTCCAAATAAGAGTAATAAGATTCCAAGCTCTATTGCATTTAAAAGAAGTAGTAATGATCAAAGCCTAAGTGACAGTAATCAAATAATATCGGGAAGAGGGGAGCCAACAATTTAAATAACGAGGTCTAAGGGAGTTAAAAAGGAGAAGATAAAAATAAGCAAAGGCGATAAAAAGACTTTTAATAATTTTATTGACAGTGAGGATGATGTTCTCACTCATAGAACGAATCAACCTTAGAGTACAATATTTCTGATGGCTCTTGATAAACTTGAACTATAAAAAAGAATTCATTACTAAAATAACAAGGATTTCTCTTCTGTATATGATAGCAGAATGAAATTACTGTTGAAAGGTGTAGATCTATTTATTTACATTATGGGTTTAATGAGAAAATACTTAAACTTTGATGATTTATTGTAAATTATGACCATTTCTAGAGAATTTAGATAAGAATTTAATAAAACTCCTACTCTACGTTAGAAAAAAATCTATAAACTCTATAAAAATTAGCTTCGCTTCATAATTATTAATGGATTCCCAAATACTTTGCAAAGAATTAAGTATTGGAATTTTAAGACAAAATTTTCTGTTAGTAAGAAGAAGAAACCAAATCAATTTGAAAGTTTAAAGAAGTAAAAGCTAGATGAAAGTGAAGCAATAGATATCTTAAAAGACGTTTCAAGAACATTTCCTGATATGGCCTATTTTCAAAAACCCTAAAAGGGTTAATAAGAACTTTTCTATATTCTTAATGCTGTTGCAAAGAAAAAAACTCATACTGGATATATTTAAGGAATGAATTTTCTAGCTGGTATGATTCTGATTAATTTGTAAAATGGAGAGGACACCTTTTATATGATGATGTCCATCCTAAACACTCATGAGTTTGATAAAATCTTAGATCTTGAGAGTGGTGGACGCTTTCAAGTTCTTTGTTATTAGCTAGAAATATTCCTTCAAGAATATATGCCCCATCTAGCCAATCATTTTAGAAAATTGAAAATTCCAACAGATATATACGCTGCTAATTGGTTCATCACTATGTTTTGCTGTGAACTGAGTATGGATTTAGTTTTCAGTATCCTTGATATATTCTTACTTGAGGGCATAAAGAGTTTGCTTAGAATATCATTAGCATTACTTAGCTATCTTCATGATAGACTACTTAGTATGAATGATGAAGAATGCATGAATTTTCTGTCGTCTAGGAATAAAGATATTTAAATGGATTCTCAGACTTTACTAGAAAATGCCTATAATTTTAAGATTACTGATAGTCTACTTTAAGATTTAGAATTGTTCTACAAACTAAAAAATAAAAAGAAGCATCCTATCCAATAAATATTCAAAGCCTTTAACAGATTATCTCTATAAGAAGAGGAGGTCAAATAAAAAAATTAGCCTCCAAAAACTAGGTCTTATTGGATAGTTCAAGCTGCAACTCCTCAGGACCTCAGAGAATTATTAAAAACTTCGAAGAATATTACTCCTGAGGAAATAGATTACTTTTATTAAAAAAATATAAAAAATCGCAAGTTAAGGGAAATTGTAGAGGAGCTTTAAACCGAAGAAGATTCAAAAATTGCTAATGTAAATAATTATGCCTTTGAAAAGAAGGATATATAGAATGCTAAGATGCTATAACCATCTCATCGCAAGAAAGAAACTCAGCATTCAAAATATACTTAAAGCGCAATGAACTAAAACAAAAAAAAGCAATCTGGTTAGATGCTGCATTTTAGTAATGATTCAAATAATACAATAAAAGAAATGACTAATGATTTCAGTAAAGGTGGATAGTCTGGAAGTAAAAAAAACCAAAATAACTCTAGTTATGCAGCCAGCAACTTTTCAAACGGAGACACAAATAAGTTAATATCAACATCAGATTAAAGAAATTTACACTTAAGTGTGGTAATGGGAGGTAGCGATGAGGGATTAATTACTCCTAGAAGATTACAAAAAATAAATAATGATCTATCAACCAAGAATAAGAAATCCACTTAGCCCAATTAGCTCAGTATGATTAAGAAAGAGAGTGAATCCCCATTTATATAGTAAATAGGGACTAAAATAAAAAGTTACTTATTCGGAAACTTCTTCAAAACACAAGAGAAACTAAACAAATCATATGAGGAAAGCGAATAAATGAAAAATTATATCCCATTTTCGCGCTAAGATTAAAGAAAGATGAACATGTAACCTTCTTTTGAAAATGACGTGTCAAAGAAATAAAATAGATCGAAATCCATTCACTAATCAGTGCTTAATCCTAATACTCATCGAGAATCCCCAGAAATAAGAGTAACCACATAGACATATTAGTCTAATTAAAACTATTAAAAAAGTCCGTACATTTCTTTAGGATAGTCAAATAATTATCATAGTTTGGCCAACCACCTACCTAGTAAGGAACATAAAATACATGTGACGACTGAGGAAAACCATAATATTCCCAACAATTAATCTTCAATATTTAACACAACTACTCATTTGCAGTAAGTATCTAGAATAGATGCTATACATATAAACAATGAATACTTTATAAATGATCATGGCAATATTCATAATAGATTTATAGCAAATATGGTTAATAAGCCTTCACCACATAACTAGCTATTATAGCATAGAATAAATAAGCAGATATCCAAAAGTCTTGAGAGAGGAACATCAGAAGTGGACTCTGCTATCTATGGAGACGAGGACGACGATTGTGAGATCGAACTTTTAAGTTAGTCTGCAGATTGTACTATATAAACTGTTGAGGAAAATATTCATTTCAAGAGAAATCAAGAATTTAAAGGAGCAACTAAGAGACCAGAAATTCTTATTGAAAAGGACATTATTGCTGGAGATGATGAGATACTAGATAGTTAAAATTATAGCAATATTGATATCTAATACTCAAAAGCCAATAAAAATCTTCCCTTGTTCAATATCAATGGCACATAGCTTAGTTAAACAATTAAAGTTAATAGTAGTATGTCTAGTAGCCAGGCATTAGTAAACTTCAAAAAACAGTAGCAAATATAAAATTATAATAGCAACCCAAAGAGAGACTCAAACACTGTCAAAGAAGTATTCAATATAAAAACTATGAGATCATCACCTCCTGTCAGCCCTAAAGATAGATAGAAGCAAACATAAATTCAAGTATAAAGAGGAGGTCACACCATAAAAACAGCTACTATTACAATTAACAAGAAAGTTAAATGATGAGAGATTGCATTATTCTGAGTCTCATTTTATAATTCCAATTGATCTTTACTCATATGTGTATTACTTAATTATTTGAATATTTTAAATCAGTATTCCCTAAAAACGAAAGTTAATATTTTGTTGAATTACTGATTGATGGGGTTTTGGGGTTTTGGGGTTTTGGGG